ATTTTCTTTTGATCGATAAAAATCTTCTATGTTATTGGAACTTATTTTAGTTCTTGATGAAGATGAGATCGTTACCTATTTTCTTTTCGTGCGGTATTGCTTTCGGAGAGTGATCTATATATCACTTCTCAAGCATGCATTAGCACTAACAATTTTATTGACCGGCCTCAGATAGTCGTGGCTTCTACATAAGCCCGATTACGATTGCTTAACATAAACCGTTGCATTTTATAAGCGAATTATCAGTCTCCTATTCGTCTGTGGCGTAGTTTGAAATAGATTGGATTTCTCTTGTTACCCATGGGGGTTAGTTAGCATACTCGTTGATTTTATCCGAGTTGGAGCTCTCCCCATGGTAATGTATGAGACCGTGTTTTCATTCTCATGGTTGTTTAGTCGAGCATTTCCAAAAAGTAACAAAACTTGTTCTCTTATTTTGGATCATTATTGTTATATATTATATATCAATTGTGTTATATTTATGCTTCTTTCTCGCTTCCTATCTCTTTTATTTTTTATGCTTTATGTTATCATATCATATCATATTATTTGTTTATGTTTCCGCTATTTTTCCCTTGTCCACTTGGACCATTTGTTTATGTTTATGAACTTTTTCTTTTGTTCATTTGGACCAAAAAATTAATAAATGCTTAAACCATTAAAAGACTTGTTCTCTTAATAGTGGACTATGGTTACTACCCTTTGCATTGGACATGGAATTTTGAACTTAGAACTAAGATCTTAACATATGCTTGGAGGTTTGTGATGGTAAACTTTGGAAGATTTGAGTACTTGAAGTTCTCTTTTGAAGACCTATCTTGATCAAGGTCTAATCTAAAAGAAATGATGCTTACATTATGAAACTTGCTTGTGTGGTTAGACCGTTCTTATCCTTAGCTTTTATCTTTATGCAATAGGATAGTCCCTTCTTCTCCACCTTTTTTTTTAATTTTTCAAAATCTTCTCCCTTTTTCAAAACCTTCTTGTTTTCAAAGTCAAACCACTTTCATAATAAAATCTTGACTTTGGTCAAGTGATTTATTTTCAAACTTTTTTTCTTTAATAAATGTCAATCAATGTTAATCATACTTTGATCTTTTTTTTAAAAAGACATAAAAAAATACAAAAACTCATCCAATCTTTTTATGTCTTTGTGCACTTTTTCTTTTAAAATTTCTTCATAAGTTTAGACATGAGTCATCTCTTTAAGTGGAATTATTCGCTTGGAAATAACGATTTGTCTTTACATTTAAAATCAATCATCACAAACTATTTTTTGTTATTTGTACCATGAACTACGAGATTTTGATCTTATATTTCACTTTGTGGGTACGTAGGCATGAGGCGATAAGTCTCTCAAAATACAAAATATTAAAAAATATTTCTCTTCTTATCTCCCCGATCTCCTTTCAAACAAACCTTTTCAAACCAAAAAAGCATAGATATTCCAAAGGCTTCCTATAAAGTACTATAGACGTTTTGGGTGTTAACACATTTCCTTAGCGTAACCAACCCCCTTACTCATTTTCTGTTTGTTCTTGTTTTAGCACTTGTTTAGGTTTTGTTCGCTCTTTTCGTTTCCTTTTTGGATAAAATAAATGTGTGGTGACGACTCTTGCAATTTTGAGTTAAGTTAATCAATAGCTTATACTCACAAATTTCCCCACTACAATGTCGTTCGACAATCTCTACATATCTAAGCTTGGTTTTAAATGGTTTGAGAGTAAAGAGCCAAAAGAAAAACATATGAACAAGAAAATAAATACATTCTTTAGAGAGGAGAAAACTCGACACGAGTTGTATTCCTTCTACCCATCAAATACACAATCTACCAATCAGTTGTATGCAACCTAAAACACTCGTCAATATCATCATGTATTCTCTCAATACCGTCTATGTATAGAGCGGTGTCATGAGAAATACTGTATCCATCGCTATATGATTTCTCCATATAACAACTGATACAATAAGCTTTAAGTTCAACACAAAGCAAATATCAACCACAAATCAATTTCTCCAATTTGTGTATTGATAGATGAATATCCTAGACCCGAATTCGAAGAGGATATGTCTATAGCAACTCAAATCCAAACATAAAGCGAGTAAAATAAGGATAACACCGATAAATATTTGTAAAATAGCTCGTATACAACGCCATGATCAATACATTTACATAAAATCAGAGTAAACTTACTTACAAACCCCACAAATGAAAACTACAAAGGAAAGAAAGAAGAAGAATCAAAATCTCTCGCGGTGTCAATCACGATTAAAGAAGCTTCAATTCCGAATCATCGAGTTGCAACCTCCATTGATGTTGTTAAAACTCTCTAAACTCCAAAAATGTAGATCCAAAAAAACATAAACGAAAAAATATCTAAAAATTGATTTTATAGGCAAATTTGGGGTCCCGTGTTCGCTCAGCGAACATATGACGCCTTAACTACTGCTAAAATAGTGTTTTTCACGCTTTTGAGCACTTTCTGTTCGCCTAGCGAACATGACAGCAAACCAACACTTGTTTCGACCATAACTTTTGAACCGTAACTCCGTTTTACGCGCGGTCAGAAGCGTTAGAAAGCGTATCCAATGCTCTATAAGACAATGACAAAATATAATTGCTTGTATACCTACAAAAATAGGAGAAAAACAATTAAACTCAATGATATTTACACGATACGCAATATATACACTATAATGTAAAATATACAACATATGCACAAAAGTTGAGGTTTATTGGTTGAATTAAGCCAATAATTGCCAATTATTCACACTCAATATCACTCCAATTTATCACTTATCAAATACATAGTTGCTTCTCTCTGTGCATGTCAAGCAATGTGGATGGTGAATCTGATCGAAGAGATTACAGCAAAGAGTCATGGAGCAATTACCATGAAGATCAACAACATGTCAATTATCAACCTGGCGAAGAATCTAATAGCACATGGGTGAAGCAAGCACATCAAAATGAGGTTCCATTATCTTCGAGAGCAGGTAGCAGAAGGGAAGATGAACTTGAAAAATTGCAGAACTGAGAATCAGATTGCAGATATCATGACAAAAGGAGTGCAAGTCGAAGTGTTCAAGAAGTTAAGGTCTATGATGAATATAGATAGTTTAGACACAAGAAATTAAGTGGTGTGTTGGGATTGTAATTTCTTGTGTCAAAGCAAGTGTAGCTCGACAGAAACAAGGATGTGTCGAAATTAGTCTAGTGTGTGTGCCGAGTTGTGTTAGATGTCAAAGTGTCAAAACAGATTATTTGACACATAATTTCGACTTAGACCAAAATATAAATTTTAGAATTTTGTAATTTTGGATTTTACCTTAGGGAGTAAGGTGGCTCAATTATAAATAGAGCAAGTAACCTCTATTTTGAGTAAGAACAATAGAGAATAATATTCTAACACACTACAGAAAGTGCAGTTGCACAGTTGAATAATATTTTTCTCAGTTTGAGAACAGAGAGTTACTCTGCAAAAATCATTCTTCTCTTCCCTTAAAAAATGTTACCTCATACTCTTGTCATTATCCCTCTACCCCTACATGTTTTAAATATTACAATTCTACCATTTCACTAATCAAAATAACTTTATTATTTAATATTTATTATTTTTCTGGTATGTATTTTTTCTTCACCAAATAATTTGCAATCAAATTTTTCGGTATATATTTTTTTTTCACCAAATAACTTGCAATCAAGTTTTCCGGTATGTAATTTTTCTTCACCGGTTAAATTACATACTAAAAAACTTGATTGCAAGTTATTTGATGAAGAAAAAATACATACCAAAAAACTTGATTACAAGTTATTTGGTGAAGAATATTACATACCGGAAAACATGATTATAATTTATTTGGTGAAGAAAAAATACATACCGAAAAATTTGATTGCAAATTATTTGGTGAAGAAAAAATATATACGGAAAAACTTGATTACAAGTTATTTGGTGAAGAAAAAATACATATCGGAAAATAATAAATATTAAATAATAAAATTATTTGATAAATGAAAAGGTAAAATTGGAATAATTTAAAAAATGTAGGGGTAATAATTGTTGTGCATAAATTTCTTTCTTATTCAATCTTCTTTCTTTCTTCTTCCATTAACAATTGTTGCGCATAATCATTCTTGTAATTAAGGTGTGATTGTTTCACTTGAGTGAAAAGTGAATAACAAGTGAAAAGTGAATCTTATTCATCAAGATTGTTTCGAAATTCTCAAAGTTTTGTGTTAATTTCAATAGATAAAAACACATGTATTTTTATCTTGATTCGCTGTTAATGAAACTATATCCAATCCACCCACCAGAGTGATTTCGTCTTAAAAAAGAGTTAATTCAATAATCATATTGATTATGCAACTCAAAGATCAAATATATAAGTGTGAAAGAAATTAAGTTTTCTTTTACATGTAGACGAACTCAAATATTACCACTAAAAATATTAATAATTATAATAATGAATTGATAAAATATTAACCGGGTTTGGTCGGGTTCGGCCACCGACAGGTCAAGTATTTCCATCTCAAAGTGGTCCATTTCAAACCAAACCAAAAGCGGTGTAACCTGATCCAAGTATACAATTGAATTCGGCCCGGTCAAGTATACTCGGTTGATTTTCTTTTGTCCACCCTTAAAATCAATCCATGACTTTCTGTATCTACTGAGTTGTTCAGTCTTAGATTTATTCAAAAAAAATGAAACACCATAATTCAAAATCTCTTCTATGATTAACTTTTAGTCTTTTAAATAGAAATAATTTATTAATCTTTAGTTGACTAATATATTCATACATCTGAATTTTCTACATATGTGATGCTTTGAATTGACAGAAGCAGCAGAAAAGTATTCATATAATAAAATAAACAAAAAGAGTAATAAAAAGCATGGGATACAGAAGAAAAAGAATACACAACACAATTCAGAAACTATTGTGCTAACGTGTCTTCTAAAATTCTTGGAAGTAGTTGAAGGAAAAAAACTAACAAGATAACCATGAAAACGTTACAACAGAACATCATGACGTATACAAGGCTTCTAAGCTTCATTCTACTTCATATTTTCCTCTTCACCTTAACAAATGCACAATTACCATATTACAAATTAAGTTATTGCCAGAATTCAACAGAAAAAACAAACAACACAGCATACCAATCCAATATTAACAAAGTTGTTTCATGGATAAACTCTGATTCTGCAGCAGGCACAGTATCTAACCAAACCACCATTCACAGTAGCAACAACAACAATGATGATGATGGTGTTTATGGGTTCTACGATTGTCGTGGTGATGTCAGAGGAGCTTTCTGTCAATTTTGTGTCAACACCGCTGCCAGAGATATCGGTCAACGTTGTCCGAGCAGCGTCTCGGCTATCATATGGTATGACCTATGCATCGTAGGATTTTCTAATCATAATATCCCAGGAAAAGTTTATACAACCCCAACATGGAATTTTACCGGAGCCAAAACTGTTAAGGACTCAACTGAACTTGGACAAACAGAAAACAACATGAGGAATTTGATAGGTACAGTGACTTCAGAAGAAACCAATGCCAATTGGGCAATGGGTGAGTTTGACTGGAGTGACAACGAGAAAAGGTATGGTTGGGTGCAGTGTAGTAGAGATATTAGTAAGGATGGTTGCAGACAATGTTTGGAGGCTATGTTGGATATAGTTCCTCATTGCTGTAGAACAAATGTAAAATGGGCAGTGTTGTCTCCTAGTTGTGGGATGGAGATTGATGATAATAAGTTCTACAGCCTGCAAACAGGATCTCCTTCTCCGACGCCAAATCCAGGTAAAATCAATTGTTGAATTCGGCCTATAAACTTAGAAAAGAAATGAAACATTTTCATCTATGATAGTGTTGCAGGCAAGAAGAAAGGTGGAAGTAATACCAAAACCTTGATCATCATCATCATTGTAAGCGCACTGGTGGCAGTAGCTCTACTAATTTATTGTGTCTACTACTACTGGAGAAAGAATGGGTTAACTAAAGGTAACTGAGTAACTATACATACATGTTGAAAGTTCTCTAAGCTCATTTCAAATTAATTACCTATGAGAATATAAGTCTCTATTCAAACTTACTAGGTGAGTTACTGATGAGGAGGGCCATTACTCCCAAATCTTTCCGACACTGTGTTCAAAGTGAAGATTCATTAAGTGAATACCTTCCGGTAATCCCTTTAAATGTAATTCAACAAAGCACTGATAACTTTTCAGAATCATCTAAATTAGGAGAAGGTGGATTTGGTCCAGTTTATAAGGTATGAATAAAATTGGATCTAGAACCCTGCGAATGCATATATATTTTTTCTTCATAACTTTTATGTACTACCAATCTATTTTCGTTCATTTTTATCAGGGTATTTTACCAGATGGGACTCAAATTGCGGCCAAACGGCTTGCAGAAACGTCAGGCCAAGGTTCCGAGGAGTTCAAGAATGAAGTTATTTTCATAGCTAAACTACAACACAGAAACCTTGTGAAACTCTTGGGTTGCTGCTTTGAAGAAAATGAAAAGATACTGGTATATGAGTACATGCCAAATTCAAGCCTTAACTTTCACCTTTTCGGTATGTTTTGATAAACTTTAATCTTCCCATTTTCTTTCATCATTGTATTCTTTCACTTGTTCCAATTTAGTTCTAATAAGTAAAAGTGGATGATAGACTCCATTGGTGTGGTTAATACAATGTTCGTATACTTGGCAGATAAGGAAAAACATAAGCATCTAGATTGGAAATTACGACTAAGCATTATCAATGGAATCGCAAGAGGACTGCTATACCTTCATGAGGATTCTCGACTTAGAGTAATCCATAGAGATTTGAAATCAAGCAACGTTCTTCTCGATGATGAAATGAATCCAAAAATATCAGACTTTGGATTAGCAAGGACATTTGAAAAAGATCAATGTCAGACAAAAACAAAGAGAGTTATTGGCACCTAGTAAGTGTTACTGGCAACTCTTTTTTTAAAAATTATATTACAAAATTTTACATGATTCACAAATGACACTGTTCTATTGATTTTATATAGTGGATACATGGCTCCAGAATATGCTATGGCTGGGATATTTTCAGTAAAATCTGATGTTTTCAGCTTTGGAGTTCTCTTATTAGAAATAATTTACGGAAAAAGAAATGGAGACTTCTTTCTTTCAGAACACATGCAAAGTCTTCTATTATATGTGAGTTTTACATTTTCTTACAAAATGTTCCTACTCAAGTTTCTAAATATTCATATTTGTATGCAGACTTGGAAACTTTGGTGTGAAGGGAAAAGTTTAGCATTAATCGACCCGTTCCACAAAAACACGTACGTTGAAAGTGAAGTCATGAAGTGTATACATATTGGTTTATTGTGTGTACAAGAAGATGCAGCGGATAGACCAACCATGTCCATCGTTGTTCGCATGCTAGGGAGTGACACAGTAGCCCTTCCAAAACCCACACAACCAGCATTTTCAGTTGGGAGAATCTTCAAGAATGAAGATCAACTTTCAAAAAATTCTAAGGTTGATTCTGTTGATGAAGTAACCTTAACTAGTGTTTCAGCTAGATAGTTGATACTATGGTTCAGTTTGTGCCAGATAAGAAAATGTTTAGAGTTCTTTTAGAAAAAGATTTGAAGTCAAAAATGAAGACAACCAACCATCTTAAAGTTGATGAGAAGCTACCCTAAATTTACTTGAAGGGTGATAAACAACTTCAATTCTTGGTTAAACTATAAATATATGTTTGATGTGTTATTAGTTTTTCAATGTACTATACTTTAACACAAATGTCATTTTTTAAATGTGGTTATAAATGTATGTAATTAGTTGTAAATATTTCTATATAATTCTTTAACCGCGCGTGGTGGCGCGTCTGTCGGCCGATCTCGACGATTTTTCTACTACGCCACTTGCCTTAGATTCAATCTCAGGTTTTATTTTCAACTCACAAAAAACTGTGCTCTAGTTCAAACAGGGCCTTTTTCACCCGATTCATATGATATTTTGTCTCTTCAGATACTCATGACTACTCTTCAGAACTTTACACTAAACTACAATGATTTCCTCAAGTGGTATTAGAATTATCAGAGTTCAGATTCTACAGTTTAGATTGCACACACTGGTAATTCGTTTGTTTGTCTCTCTCAATCATCTTCTCTTAGATCTTGGATCCTATGTTACCGGTAATAAAATTCTTTTCTCTTAGATCTTGGATCTTGGATCCTATGTTCAGATTCTACCTCCGATTTCTTAGACTATAACTTCAGGCAATGGTTCTCAAACTCAATCCTAAGGAATTGTTATTGTTCAAATTCTACCTTATCTCTCTATTACTTTTGTTCTCTATGTACCTAATTGTTCATTTAATTTATTCTCAGTCTGTCGTTTAACTCGTTCTCTTGATTGTATTATCACATTCACTAACAGTAATGTTAATCTGCAAGACTGGAGTTCGGATCAGAAGACTGGTGTCGAATGTGAGTATCAAGGCCTTTATTACTAGGAGTGAGTAAGGGACGAGTCAGGAAGGGTTATGACTAACCCTAACCCTGTCCTAAATTTTGATCGGGGTATTTTAATGACCCTAACCCGTACCTAAACGCAAAAAAAACTCGATAATATATAAGTTAGTTTAGACCGACTTAATGTAAGACGATATCGGGTTGCCCCGAAATATATGAAAATAAAATTTAGTGACTTAAGAAATTTATTATTGTATTTTTTAAAATTTATTTAAATAAGAAATATGAATAAAATCATTAGCATGAATGAAAAACAATGAACACATCTAAAATCAATTTTTTAAAATAAAAAACATGATGTAATTCTATATATGTCATCACCCTTTTATTTTCACTAAAATATAGTAAGAAGATGTAAAATAAAAAATAAGATGTAAGAGAACTAAAGAAGTGTGAAAGTTGAGAAGTGGAAAGATGTATACTTAGTACTTAGTGAGTGTATATATTATATTATGAGGTGGGAAGTGAAAAAGTGTATTGGTTTGGAATAATTTAAATATACCAATAAATTAAATAAATAAATAGTACCACATGTGCATTCATAATATTAGGACGGGTTGGATAACCCGAAGATAAACCCGAACCCGTCCTAACCCGATACCGGGTTCATTTTTGAACCGTCCTTTTTTTTACATTTTTTGCATGAGACGGAAAAAAGACTAACTCGAAATCATTGGGTTGGGACGGGTCTTCGGGTTGGGTTGGATTCTACACACCCCTATTTATTACCTCTCAGTGTCATCTAAGACATGTTCATCCAAAGATTCTCTCATCGCTATTCATGCTTAATTAGGTCATCTCAGTCTTCCCAGACTATAGAAGTTGGTGTCTGTTGCACCCCAAAATTTGACCAACATTTATTTACTCATTAAGTGTTTGAAGGTTGATACCTTCATCAGAAAGTTCAAGAGATCCTCAGAGGAATTGGTTGAAACCAAGGTTGTGTGCTTCATAGCTTGAAAGTTGTGGGCACTCCTCAGATGATTCTGAGACTTTGAGAATGAACTTGAAGCTTTGAGAAAGCCTATGAGATGTCTTGAAAGTCATCATGAAGCCCAGAGAGGTCATTGTGCAAGAATTCAGAAGATTCAACCATGAATGGTAGAATTAGGGTTTTGACTGGGTCAACCCTAGATCAGCTGAAGATTTAGGGAAGGTTGAGACCTAATCCAAGGGCCATGAGATCATGGAATGATGTATGGAGATGTTAGAAAGATAATTCCTAGACCAACTCATCATGACTGAGGAGTTTGAGAAGTTTTGAGTTAGGGTTTCCAGGGATTGTCAGTGAAAAACCCTAATTTGATCCCTATCTTCCAGGCAGTTTTAGCTCAAGATGTGATTGATATCTCGTCTTCCCCACAACATGAATGTTGTAGAGCTTGTTCTTAGCTTTAATTTGAGTGGTAGAAGTCCTTGATAGGAGTTGCAGAGCTCAAGTTATGGTTTTGACAAATTACAGGTCATCTGAGGTATGTGAATCTGGGTCCTTGAAAGTCACCCAACTTGCAGACAACTTTTGCCCTAGTAGGATGATTCCTATGATCTCTTGGTCAACATGAATGTTGAAGAGAATCTTCTTAGCTTTCTAGAGAGTACTAGAAGTCCTTTATAGGATTTGTAGAACTCAACTTATGGTTTGAACAAGACAGGGGTATTTTGGTCATTTGGTGATTATAGGTCATTTTAAGCAAATGCCATATCTCCTAGTTCCAAGCCTCAAATGAAAAAACTCAAAACATCAAAGTTGTTCAAAATGGGATTTTAAGCCTAGAAAAGAGGTCATGAGTTATTGAAAAAGCTTGTAGCAAGGATTTTCATGATTGGGTAAAAATGACCTAAAAATGACTTATAAAGTAAATGAATCCAAGTTGGAAATTGGTTTGGGAGATCCACAAATCCAAAATGGGTCATCCAATATGTCATTTTGACTCCAAACACTATTTTAAAAACAATGGTTCAAGTAGAATTTTGATTTGAGGTCTTAAAATGGATGTTACTTTGAAAAGTTCATTCTTGCATCTTAAGGAACCCATGAGAAACTTCACATAAGGCAAGGCTAAGCTTGTTTTTCACTCCTTCCACTCCCAATATCTCTTGTGAGGAGTTTTTGACACAAAATTAAAAGGCATTAAGGCATGAGATGAGATATCCAATATGTCATTACATGAGACTTTCTATTGTATTCTAGCTCTTTCTAGGAGGTTCTAGAGTCTTCCATGGATGGTTATATATTAAGTGGATCAAGGTGAGATTAGAGGTTGGTCAAGGTTGGTGGATTCATTGGTGAAGGGTGAGGAAGAAAGGGATATTCAAAGTTTTCTTCAAACACAAGCAAGGCTCGAGTTGCTCATCACAGGCTTCAATCATCCAAGATAGTGCAAACAGAATTCTTATCTTCCATTAAAGATCAGTCATGGAAGGTTGCAAGCTCTGAATTCATCTCTAGCATCATCCACCATCATCACTTGGCAGGTTTGAAACTTTCACCATACCTCCATAATTATGTACATTCTGTTAGAATTCCAGGTGGGAAGATAGCGTGCTAGGTTAGAGGAAGGTTTTCTGAGAGTTAGAGGAAGATCCATGAGGTTCCATGGCAGGTCCCATATTCTTTAATTTCCAAGAGCAAGCTGTGTAGGGAGTATTAATGGATATGTGATAGCACAGAGTGATTAGGGTAGCATAAAGAACACGTTGATGTCATTAGATCGAAGCTCTAGCAAGATTGATACCAGAAGAAAATGGTTGAACCCTAATCTTCACGCATTCTGTTTGGACGATACAAGGCATTTCAGAGAAAGTTATGAGCATGGCTATGTTCCTGGTGGCTAGTAGAGTATTTTTGGTTTTAGAATTTTTAAGTTTCATGGCCATATGAGGGAGCACGAGCGTGGAGAAGAGTTGTGCATGAATCCTGGCCATGTCTGAAAACCCTAGCTCGATGGGGACGATGGCCCCTGACCGTAGGATCTGTCCAATCTAATTGACCTAATAATCTGATCCAACGGCTCTTGTTTAAACTTGCAAATGGAGGGAGTCTGATGCGTATGAAACGCATCGTTTCATTAAACCAACGCGTGGGCCTCAGCTAATCCTTGTTACTCACACCCCCACCAACGGCCCAATCAACTTTTGAACTGAAAACTAATGCTTTTTGCACCGCAGCTTTAACTATTTTCTTTTTAATTTTTCAATTGTTTTTCTGAGCACATATTGAACTAGGGCATTCGCTAATGGCACCCCCCATCCCTGGCCCATCTGGGAATTGAACTAGGCGTGTTTTCTAATGACACCCCCTCCCCTTTTTCTTTTATTTCTTTTATTTTTAATTCCCTTTATATTTCTTGCATATTAAAAAATTCATAGAAAATTGAAAAATTAGTATTTTTTAATTCTTGTTTTTTCTACATATTCATAAATTTGTCTAGAAAATTATAAATAAATAAAATTCCATTTTATTTTTCTTTTAATATTTTTAGTATATTTTTTCATTTAAATAGCTTTTAAATAGGTTTAGTTTGATACTCAATTTTGTAGAATTTCTTTTAGGACCTTCCCTTATGATTTTTAATTCATTCTTTTTGGTGTGATTAGATATTGAATCATAGTTCCCCATAGGATTTAATTCTTGATTTTTAGATTAAAATTTGATTAGTTTAATTAGGTTAGCATTAGGGTATCCTAATTAGGGTTTATGTTATGCATAGGTAAGGTAATTCATTTTCTTTAGAGAGTTTTGTCTTGATCTTTGGGTAGGGGCACATAGGGATGTTATGGGTAGATGTTATAGACCCTTGTGAATAATTGTTAGAATTTTCCCCCTTGTTTTAGTATTTTTAGGTATTTTCTGAAGTTGACTGATGGTTTTGACTGTTCTGTGGTTATCTGTTTATCCCTGGGGTTTATTTTGGGGAATTTGTTGTGGGGCTTAGTTTGTTTTGAAGATCTTGTTGAAGAGCATGATGGAAGAGAGGATTGTAGATCAAGACTCAGAGACCCCAGAGCTTGGGGATTATTCCCTGTCTGTGAGGTTTGAGATCCTGA